TTCAATTTTTTTGTCTGTTCAGTTACTTTGTTCCAAAACACATTACATAGATGTAAAAACACATATTCAAACTTGGTACTTAAGAGTAAAAAAAACCATCCTGTCTGAGAAATATTCTTTTCCAAGAAGTTTACAAGCAAGATGCAAAAAAACCTCCATCTGTCTAAGTTATTCATTTAAAACTAAAAGTTCTAGTTGAGAGCTGAAGCTTTATAAAAACAGACGTTCAAAATACACAATTTCTCCCTCCAAGACAGAGAATCACTTCTTGTCAGGAGATTCTTGGAACCTGAGTATGACAGGAACTGCAAGTCATCCCATCTCCAGGTACACTAAATTGCTGGTTTTACTAAAGTTACACTGTGCTTTGTTCCTCTACCAGAATACAGAATAATCAAGCCAAGTACAGCAGGAAGGCACAAAGGTAATTTTGAAAGTAAAAACTGGGAGAGGGTTATATATGTACAATCATTATACACACATTTACAAGGAAACTGAATATTGGAAAATAAACGCCCCTCTCCCCCCATTATTTTGATGAAATTTATTTTCTTCTTAAAGCAATACTAAAAAGTACCTACATTACAATGTCTCTTGGAAAAGACATGAAATAAAAACAATTTTAAACTAGGGAGCAGGAGTGAAAACAGAAATGGCCATCCTGGAAAAAGCAGAATTAAGTGTGGTGAATTCTGCTTTTCATTCAAAAACCTGTTCTGATTACCAGTACAGAATATGTAGTCATGCTGCATATGAAGGACTTGAATTTTTCATTAAACCTGTGAAAGGCAGAGCAGACCACTTCACTGACTTTCATGCACAGGTTCAAGCACTGGATCTCAAGAGAGCAAAAAGCTCACCAGTGTAATAACCTCACATATATAAAGGCCCACACTGCATAAGGTCAAGTCACTAATGGGTGATTTTTCTTTAAATATGAACCATCATCAGAAACATTTCAACAAACACAAGAGGTGGGATTTTTTACACTTTTATTTTATTGTTTATACACAAAGTTTAAGATGTCTTTATCTGTCATTCTTACCTTCACATGCCAAAAGAGAAGGTCAGAGTCTAAATGGGCAAGCTATGAAACCACCAGACTTTACATCGGACAGAAATTCCTAACTTCTGCTTCCTCAGATGGCAAAAATTACAGTAAATTAACAGAGCTGAAAGAAATGACACTCAGGAAATAACACACCAGCAACCCTGGGAGGCTTAAGAGCTGCATCCATTTATAGCAGAATGCCTGAAGAGATCATTATATTATCTATGTTGATCTTCTGTATCTCACAGAACATCTGAAACGTTTTGTCGCCCAGCCTATAATAAGCCCTGTAATTAGGCTACAGTGTTCTAACACAGAAAAACCCCAAGCTGCTCTAGATGCAGCAGACCACCACAAAGGCCAAGTCATATGCAGCAGAGGGGAACTAATTATTGGCAAAATTAGGCTTCATGATCCCACCAAGCAGTTTTTACACTGTTGCTGCATATGAATTCCTCTGCAGCGCTCTTGTGACCAATTTTATTTTGAGCACTTGAACAAAGCCAAGCAACCAAACATTTATGAAAGACAGCTTCCCATACTGCTTCAAGCAGCTACTGCAAAACATATACAACTGCTTTGAGCACTATAAAACATATACAACTCTGAGACATTTAAATCCAGTTTATTTAGTACCCAACTGAAGATAAATTAGAGGCAGTTTATAGTGTCTTAGAGTATCCCATAGAGAGGATTAGGGATGAAGACTTCTAACTGGGGTAAGTAATATTTTAAAGTTCAAAAATAGGAAGCTGGTGTTTCAGTCCTAAACTGAAAAGAAAAAGGAATTCTTTTCAATTGTTAACAAAAACCACAAGTGACTATTAAAAAAACTAAACCCGGAAAGGAGAGCCTTACACTTAACCCAGGTTTAGCTTTGTTTAAAGGTAAAACTAAATGTCCAAAAGATACAGAACATAGTAACAGTAATAGGAAAGATACTGGTGACATTTTAACCCCTAATACTAAATTCTAGCAAGACCAGGGGAAAAAATACAGGGACAAAGTCAGCAGCAGGAATACTTCTTCAGTGCAAACAAAGCAATCCTCAGAAAAGCTTACACAAACACACAGTACTTGCAGCACAATGTAAGGAACTTGTTTTGTGAACCCAATAACCTCTGCTGTCTGTGTGCATTCTGATGTACTTCTCTGTCAGCCCATGCCAGTGCCTACTTCTCTGTTTCTGTTTGGGATCCTTCTGCTTTCCAGCTCACCAGGGCTCCTTCTTTTGGTTGTTTTGGCTGAAGTCCCAGAGAAATAACAACGCCCTTGAGCTGAGTGTCAGAGAGTTCAAGAAGCAACAGGTGCCCAAGGGAATCTTCAACCTGGCTCTTTAGCACAGCCTCTGATAATGCACGACTTTTTTTCCCCAAGCAGGAACATGGAATTGAGATACAGACAGGCTGAGTGAAAAGCAAGAGTAAACAATCTCTTTGAGACAAGAACTTCCTTGTGTTTTTGGTTTTTCCCCCTTTTGCTGCAGGAGTGCCCCTGAACTTTGGTTGATGACATCCAAATGGGATTTGCTTAGCTTTCTACTTATTAGCCTGGGTGCCTCACAGAAGATTTCCTCATCAAGTACTGACTTTGGATTTTACTTCCAACATCATAGAAGTAAAGGAATCGACATTTAAAAGCCTCTGAATCAGATGCAGAAAACGAAGTGAAATTAGAGAAAACAGAAACTGTATTCTTCCCATTTACCTAACACTGGGGGCCAAAGGATGGCAGAAGAGCCCTTACCAAAATCATCACTACTTCACTACTGTCCTCATGAACTGTGAACCAAGTTCTTCAAGTTTGGTTTTCCTTAGAAATCAAAAAAAAAGTTTTGCTCTGAGTTGAACGACATATTTAGTGCCAAACTAAAGGATTTCTTTAGGTTTTCATCTCAGCTAAAAAAACCCCAAGACCTTTTGGTTGAATTAAAACAAACCCTCCCCAATTCCTGAATCTGTATCTGACCACTGAATTTAAGGTATTACAAAAACCCAACCAAAAAAAAAAAGAAAAAAAGAAAGAAAAAACACCACCACATGTGGATCAAAAATGCTACATTTCTCTTAAATCATGAGACTCTCCTCAAGTTCTTCTGAAGTGCTAAAAACCTTTGCCAACAGAGATAGCTGATTCCCTCACACCCCAGGAACTCCTTTTCTTCACTCTTCTCTTCCTTCATTCTTTTGTTTCTACCTCCTTGTTAGATTAGCAGGATTTGACTTTCACTCCCACTCCCTTTTTTATTCAAGGGCTGCTTTGAATAAGAATGTGCCAATGTCCTGTTAATGACAGACCCTTAGGGCATCTCCTTCACTTACAGTCTCCTCAACATTTTTTTTTTTATTCAACTCACCATTTCCTTTTCATAGACATACCTCTCATTCATCTTCTGCCCAGTTTCAAAAATTATGTATCTTCCTCAAGTACCTCTTGCATTCCTAATCTTCTATCCTTTCTTACTTTCCCTATGCCTTTTTTAAGCCTGCACATTTGGGTCATTACCTCTTTCCTCTCTGTATTCTACTTCTAGATCATCTAGTAATCACTAATAAAATTAAGTATTTAAAGATGTTCTCATAGCTTTAAAAACTTCATTCTGCTTTCTGCTCATTCTGGAGTCTCAGAAGAGACTTATTTGTTCTGACCATTTTTCATGGCACTTCTCTCATTTAACCCAACCTGTTGCCATTTATTGTAATGCACACAATTTGCAAATTCCCCAAAACCACAACCAACAGATCTAATGGATTGTATTGGGAACTTCACAACCTGAACAGAAAGCACAAGGCCACTCCTCACCTTCCAGTAAACATTTGAATTTTCAAAAGAGCTCATGCCATGTCACTACAAACTACTATGACAAAAGATGTTTTAACTCCAACCCCCAACACACATCTGGGTTTTTCTGGTTGAAGCCACTGATGACAGACACTCCCTTCTGCTCACTTGTGTCTCACTCTTGCTCATACCTTGACATGTTGCAAAATAAAGATTGCATTAACTACATTTAACATGTAGTTTCAAGTGTTGGGAGTTTGTACTGGTTTTTTACAATAAGTTACAGTTGAAACTATATCCATAGCTAATTTTTTTCATAATAAATTTCTGATATTTTGGACTGGTCCAAAGGTCACTCATTTGGAAAAGAGAAAGAAAAAAAAAGAGGAAATCAAATGTTCTACAGTTTAACAGAAGATCATTCACTTTTTAATTAAGTTTGCTGTTGTTTACACTTCTAAACCTTAAGAAATTGGATTAATAGTTTCTTTATTTACTAATCCTATGAAGAGTCTTAAAACACCTAAGACTATTTTGCTTGGTTTTATTGGTTTCCTCCTACTTGTCTGCACATTGAACCTTGCGGCAAAATAGATGAGAGGTTTTTTCAGGATGAGTGTTTGCTGGATGTTTTGTTTGTACTTAATGGTCTCTGGATAGCACCAAATCTAAATAAAGTTATGGCTTTAATCATCTGACTCAATCCTGCACAACCACCAACAGAAGAGCAACAATCCTAATTTTAAATTAAAAGCACATGAAAATTTGAAAAAGTTGTTTTATCTTCCCATTCTTTCACAGGAACCTAAATCCTCAAAACCCATGTGTGTACACACAGGTCTTCTAAAAACACTACCCTTCATAACATTTCTTACACAATGAAGCCAAAAGGAAACTAAACACAATATGAAACATGGCTTTAGAGGACAAGAAAGAAATGAAAAAATCCTGAAGACAATCACAGCAGAGCAGGGTTTGTTCAACTCAGGATCACATTTACTTGGAGATGAGGCTGTAAGAGACCAGAAACAGTCTGCACATAACAGCCTGTTTGTCCCAGCCATGAGACACCCCCAAATTTGAAATAAAGCTACCAGCTGTCTTAGCAAGATGCCATGTCACTGTTATGTGGGGTTGATCTATGAAGTCATTTTCTTAGAATACTTACCACTAAATCCCAGTTATTTTGTTCAAGCAACGTTATAGCTTCATCAATATTTTCAATACCAGTACATGCCTAAAAATAAAAAGAAGCAGTAAAGAGAATTAAAAGCATTGATCAAAATCAGGGTATTAATACTTATAATTCAATTCATTTCAGCAGGATGACAGGAAAAGTAAAGATTTTCCCTTTCTGTTACAAAAGGGTGATCCAGAAATCAGACTCCAAGTTTTAAACATCAAACATTTAGATATAATTCCCTGTTCCAACAGAGGACTCTTCTGTAACCTTGAGCAAGCCACCTAGGGAAGCAAGACCAAGTAGTTATTTGTAAAATTAGGACAACAGTGCTGTCCCATACAGGTGTTTTACCTTCAGAACTATGAAGCACTCATACTAACTTTAAAAGGGAGCACAAAAAACCTTGAAGTTCTATCCCTGTACTCTGGCTTTACCTAGTTCAAGAAATCTAACACAATAACATTTTTAAGGTTAACCCTCATAAAACCATATTTTGAACTGATCTTAATTGCAAATACAAGAGCACCTCTACTCAGCAAAAGCTGGGATGCAGCAACCTGCTGCCTTTTTTGATACCCAAACCTTTTCAACTATTCAACTTCAGCAGGCAGAGCACTGCTGTTCATTCTGCCACATATTTGCCACCATTCACTTTGAAGCATATGAGATATATTTCACCAAAAGACAAAAAAGGAAACAGCTACGTCTCTTCCTGGAATTTATCTTTCATCCTAACTGTATTCAAACACACAAGAGGAGTTCAGACTTTTACAAGACCTGAAACACAATTGTGTTCCTTCTGCTCTACCACACAGTTTTATAAAACTGGAGTATATAAAACTGCATCCAAAAAATAAAAAAAACAAACTTTTTTAACAGTAATAACACAGAGCTAGAGAGCAGCAGCAAACAATCAGTTTTCCTGATTCCCTCTATGTTGCAAGAGAAGGAGGCGGCTAAGCAGACACTTTTTTCCTACCAAGACATAAAGAGCCATCAGGTCATATATTTCCCATGTTCTTTTTTTCCAATTTACAAGCATGAAAACATAAAAAGAAGAAATCATGAAGAAATTCAAGGCCAATTCTCTCTTCCTAAATTCAACCCTGAAAAATTCCACACTTACAAAGCACTACATGCAGTATGTCAACAGAAAATGGACCAGTCTGAAGGACCACAAGATGAAATTATGGAGAATTTTGCCTGCAGAGGGGAGGCAGAAGTTTTACTGCTGCCCAGTGCTCTCATCATCACATTGATCCTCTCTGCAACAAAACAAAATTTCTTCCACTTCAGAGCATGCTGTGTTAATGCTGAATTTCACCCACTTCACATTGGGAGTGCTAAAAAAATAGCACTTTTCTCCTCAGAAGCATCATTTTGCCTTCTTTTCCATTATTTCTTGCAGTTATTTCTGAAGTTAAAAATGGAACAAAACTTCAACACAATCCTCAGCAATTGCTTGTACATTTATATACAATTAAGCCAGGTAGGTTTGCAGAGTACAGGGCCTGAGCTTGTCATTTCTGAAATCACAGGATGGTTCACACTCCCATCAACCTGCCACTGGAACTGATGCCAACAGATCTGCTGCAAAAAATCCTGCTTTGAGAAAAAGCTCTGCAGAAGTCTGAGATTCTGTTTACATCCCAGTGAAATACACTTAAACTGGTCATTACAGAAATAGTTACTATTTCTCATTTGTCAGCCCTGCAAAATCTGCATGACCTTTTGAAGAACTACCTTGTGTTCCAACCTACAATAAGAACTTGACCAACAATGTGTTGTTTTCACCCTGGGCTGTGCAGAAGCTGAGATGGCACCTACAATACAGGATTTAACACTGGTTTTAGTTGTCCCCTCTTTTTAGCATTCCTGCAGCTCTGCTGACTTGCCACTGTCCTCTCTAAGCCCATACTAACTGCAAATCAATTCAGCTCACTTTGGCATACTCTCATTTTGAGATAAACTGAACAAAATTGGCTTATCCTTCTGCCAGAGCACACAGTGAAGGGAGTTAGCCCATCCCAGTGAGGGCAGAGTAATTAAACAGCTAATTCACCTGGTGTGTGCATCCTTCCTGAATCATCTTTCTGGTGACTTACAATGTAAAACAGAAGCCTGCTCTTGGTCACTCAGCCAGGCAGAGTCACTGGGTAACAAGAACAGACAGGTGTAAACACCAGCTGAAAATAAAGATCATCAGAATTCTTAATAGCCAAGACAAGCATTTTTGGTTAAAATCTTTGCACCATTTTTACAGTCCATTCTAATATTTGATTTTGAGGAGTTCTTAAACAAAGATTTCGCTTTCCAGATGGATCATTTTTGCTAGCTGTCAATGAAACAGAAAACAAACATTTCAGAATTGCACCAGGAAAGAATGAGTGCTACTTATCAATGTAACCATAAAAGAGACACTGCCAGATCTTCAACACTCTGTTAATGTCAAAGTTGCAGAAAATTAAGATTATCTAGATCTATTATCTAGAATCTTACTATACTGCACTATATCAACATTCAAACACTACAACTACAACATACAAATCCTTGTATCAAGTCAAAAGCCATCAGTGAGACCCAAAACCCCCAGCAACCAAAAACCAAAGCTGCTTCCTTGTACCTACATCATGTCATGCAAGCTAAACTAAAGAAAATCATTTGTTTTGCATGCCTTTGATTTTCCCTAAGAAATTAAGCACACAAGACGGGTAGTCCCTCAATGGCAAGCCTGACGTGACGTCAAAGGCTCTGTGGTGACAGATCAGTCCCAGAACAACCTGGCTGCTCCTGCCTTTGTTTCCTTTAGGGAAAGCACACAGGAAACCAGCAGGTTCTGTGAGCAACAGAATTAACAAAGTCTGGTTCCTCATGGGTTTGCCTCTCATCTCTAATTGCAAGGGCTGATTTCAGCTTTTCCTGTGGCCGGAATATTTAAAAGAGCTTCTTCTAATGGACAACTTCCCTTATTACCTGGCTGTATTTTCATTATATTTGGAATAGTTTCATTAGTACAAGTCCAAGGGACACCTGGCACCTTAGGGCTCTATGCCTCACTTATCTAGAAAGGCACACTAAAATTCACAGGGTTTAATTATTTACAATACTTAAAGATGTTTTCCTCATGTTTATTCCTTTTATTCTACCCAAGCAAGAAACAAACAAACAAAAAAATTAATGGGAAAAAGAAAGTTAAATTTGTTCAGAAACAGAGGTGAAAAAACCCTTAAAAATATAGCACAGGAGATGAGCTCTGCAGATGCAAAAATGCATTTCTGAGCAAGTAAAGAGAGGGGCTGAGGAGACTGTTTTTATTATTCACAGAGTTTTATTCAGCTTTATTTTCATGAGAGACCTGCTTAACAGAAGGCATTAAATATTTTAAAAGAAAATTCCTACGTGAACACTACTAAATCTTGTTCCAGTGAACAACCAGCACATCCTCTAAGTCATCAAAAGATGAAAGGAACAAACCACCACAGAAAAGGTAAAACCTTGAAGGCTCACTGATTTGTAAACCTTTACACATCAGAAAGAAACCAAAGAATTTTTTTGGAGGACAAAGGAGAAGAAAAGGTAGAACAAGTTCCTCCTCCTCCCTGCATTTCCTGTAGATCTAGGATATCATTTTCAGCCTTCACAGCAGCTCCAGAGACTCTGCAGTCACTTCTGAGCTTTTCCAGACCACACAAGAGGAAAATGAATGTGAAGATGAGAAAACTTTTGTTGTGTGCTGAATACATAATCAGATTCTGGAGATAAAGTTACTGCATGGTAAAACAACTTTTTTAGCATCCTGCTTTTCCAGGGCAGGTAAGTGATTCCACCAGGCAGACTGAAATTTTCACATCATAAAATTTCAGAGTGTTCTCCAAATTTTTTTTCCAGGTAGCTTCATATCCCCAGAGCAATGGACACCTTACCCTTGGAATGTTTCACAGGTAAACATTAGGGTGCTATCCTTGCACAGTAACATTAACCTTAATAAAAGAAGCAAAGTAGTTAGTGAGGAAACAATTCAATAGGAACAAGTTGTGAGGGCAGACAGACTCCAAGGCATTTGAGACAGAGCTAGGAGCTGCTTCCAGAAGCTGTAATGCAGGATGACAGACTGGCTCTTCTAAATGCCTTGCAGGGTGGTCTGACCCCAGCAGCTGTAACAGCTGGATGTGGGGTTTGAGACCCCAACAGCCCAGGCTCCAGCCCACCTCCACAGCCCAGGGAGCAGCTGCCCTCCCCATCTGGCAGCAGCTGCCCCCCAGCACCTGCTGCAGGATGCAGGATCCATGGCAGAGCTGCAAGGGCCAACTGCTGCTGCCAGCACAGAGCTGGGCTGCTCCTGCAGGGCTGCTCCTGCAGCAGGGCTGGAGAGCAGCAGGGCTGTTCCTGCAGGGCTGGAGAGCAGCAGGGCTGGAGAGCAGCAGGGCTGTTCCTGCAGCAGGGCTGGAGAGCAGCAGGGCTGTTCCTGCAGCAGGGCTGTTCCTGCAGGGCTGGAGAGCAGCAGGGCTGTTCCTGCAGCAGCAGCTGCTGACACTCACACACAGCCTCACATGCTGCCCCCCTGCACAGGAGCTGGCAGCACATGGCATTGGGCAGCAAGGCAGGATGTCTCTCCCCTGGGGCACCATTCCCCTCCTGGCCAAGCAAGATGCAGCAGGCAAAGTATCCGTAATGCCACAGAAATAGCTGGATATGGATAAGTCCCAAGGCTCCTTTTGAACAATTCCATACTTCCTTTGGATACCAACAGTAGCAGTATTTTCTCCAAAAAAGGACCATCTAACCCAAACTAGGCCTAGAACATTTTGTACAACAGGTCCAGGCCCATTAAAACCAGGGCTGTAATTGACAGACAGCTGTGAATTGCCCTGGGTACCACTCACTCCTGTAACAGATGAAAAATAAAATCATCTGTAGCTCAGTCCATTATTTCAATGTTTAGCCAAATGCTACAATGCCCAAAGAAACAACTGCATGAAGGCACCAAAAGATTCAACAGCACTGCCTAGGAAGAAAAGGCAATCCTTTCACCCTCTGGGATCTCCTACAAAAGC